GTACCTCCCCAGTACTTTAGTGATAAATTCTACATATATAAACCCTGTGTACAAACAGGTTCGTATGTTCAAGTAGGGCTCGCATTTGTAAAGAGAAACAAAGGACACCATATGGAGTGTTTATGGTATAATTATGACTTGCTTGAAGGAGGTGTTTCTCTTCCTGTAACTATTGCTTCTAGAAAAGTCTGTGTTGATGTATTTCATGCCACTGATCGGAGGCTTTGCTTTCTCCAGTAAGCAATGTGCTTTGGGCATCAGGAAAGCAGGAGCATACCAACTTTCTTTTGGGAAAGAATGCGATACTACGAAAGAAATTTAAAAAGCATATTATAGTCAACATAGAAAGAGCAGAACTTTGCTGACTTCTTTACCGTTATTTTAAATGTAGGCTTGCATTTATTTTGAGTAACTTGCTGGGGAGTAAGGATCCCAATCTTTTCAGTGACTAGCACCTAGAAAGGTCTTAATTGGGTCTTGCCCTCAGCTCTGAGTAACTCAAGAAAAGCTTAAAAACTCTGACTTTAGGGGATTTATGGGTCTGGGCTGGGCAGAAAAAAATGAAGATTAAGGAAGAATAGTAACGTTTAGCTAAATTGGTGGCATTGTCTGGTTCTGAGGTATTGTTAATCAGACTACAAAAGTCTGATTCTAGAGCACCAAATTGCAATAGTAAAGGACTTTGATATCTCTGAAACCTGGTTTCCCCATCTGCCAAAATGTGGATAATAATATAAGGAATATTTTTTGAGAGCTTACCATATGCCAAATGCTTTGCACATATGATTTTATTTAATCCTCCGAGTAACCTCATGAGTTACTGATAAATGAAAAAATGGATATTTAGAGAGAATAAATAACTTGAAAAATGTTACTTAGCTTGTTAGAGACAAAGTTTGTCTGATTCAGAGCCTGAACTCTCAACCAGGACACCAGATGGCCGCTGGGAAAGACTGCCCCCTTCTAACAGTGTCAATGAGAAGGTTAAGTAAGATAATGCAGGTCAAGTGCATCACAGAGAAGGTACTCAGTACATGCTAACTGTCTTGCCCTCACTCACACGCCAGCTTTGGCTTCTGTTTTCTCAGGTTGCCCCTGCCATTGTAACCTCCCGGGTATTGGTACTCTCTTTGTGGTGGGCAGGGCAGGGCAAGGGAACTGACACAGACTCTGCATTTCTGGTCTTGGAGTATTTGGGTAAAGCGCTTTCTTGACTACTTTCTATTCAGTACAGAATTGCCCCACTGATGGTTCCTACTTCCTCCTTTTCAGCCTGGGCCTTGTACTGAGTTACCAGATTCAAAGGGTGATTATCATTTCTGTTTGGCCTGGAGCAGAAGTTGACTGCTATGGATGGGTACATCAGGGCTGGTGCTTCTTAAGTCTGAGGCCATTAAGACTGGGAATGGGATGGAGCTGA